AGGATGGAAAGACGATGCAAGGATGCACTTTAAAACACTTTTCAAAATTTGCTGAAACAAGGGTCCACGCTTGAGCGTGGCTTTCTACGCTCGAGCGGACATGCAAACAAAGGAGCTCCGCTCGAGCGTAACTTCCTATGCCCGAGCGGACTGCAAACTTCATGAAAAGTACTGGATGCATGCAATTCACGCTCGACGGACGCTCGACCCCCGCTCGAGCGTGAGACTTAGGTTCTCGCTCGAGCGTGAACTTTCTCGCTCGAGCGGACTGTAAAACACATGAACTTCTGGGCATATGCATTTCATGCTTGAGCGTGACTTTCCACACTCGAGCGAAAGTGCATGTACTCAGAGTGCACGCTCAAGCGTGAAGTCCTACGCTCGAGCGTGGGTCCAAAATCTGGAATTTCCAGATTGAACCTCAAGCATGAAATTCAACTTTCAAAGCTTCAAATTCGATCCCCTTGGGCTATTTTTCTGGAAAACTCTTGGAAACTCATAGTATAACATGTTTTTGAAGATCATTTGTAAGATCAAGCCAAAAGGTAAGCCAATTGAACACAAAAATTAAGTGTAAGCATGAAGAACATTACAAGATCATACATGCATGAGTTCTCATGAACTCTAGTGTTTCAAAACAAGATCAAATGCAATGTTAAGCTCAAAATCATGATGAACTCATGGACCATAACAAAAATATGAACTTGCATAAGGAAATTCTCATGAAACAACTCCAAAATTCAAGAATATGCACATACATGCAAGGATTAATTCTCAATTCAACCTTTTAAACCAATTCTTGACTTAGATCACTAATTTCCATGAATCATGCAAGAAACAACTTATATACATAAACCAAAGGATGAATTCTCTACCTTAGGTCTTGAATTCTAGGTATGGAAGCTCAATTTTGCAATCTACTTTAATTCCTCTAAGTCTCCAAGCTATTCCTTATTGAAATCAAGTTTCTCCTACTCTCCCTCTCTCTCTCTCTCTCTCTCTCTCTCTCTCTCTCTCTCGATTTTGGACTAGAAGATAGACAAAATGATGCACCAACTGATATGAATTAAGTCTCAAAGTGTTGTGTGAAAGTGGCCCACTAATGGCAATTTAGTAGTAACTCAAACTAATGTAATTTAAGATTATTTAATCCAATTTAATCATTCCAAATCAAATTTTCATTAAACCTACCATAAAATCACATAAATTCTATTTAGCATAAAATACCAATCAATTTTTGGTTCGGTCGCCGATAAGACCTTCAATTCGCAAATTCGAAATTAAAACATGAACAGATCATTCTATAGTCAAACAGATAAAAATGCAATTACAAACAATATACTCATGTAATCAATTTAGGATTTCATCCTAATCAGTTACTTATCATTCTCAGTTACAGTTTAGCATTAATCAGAGGTGAGGGTTGTCACAGTCTTCCCTCCTTAAAAGAGTTTGGTCCTCCAAACTCGAATTACCTTCATTTTAGAAGAATACCAGATTCAGTAGGAGCAATTCAGGATATCTCTTTATCATGTCGTCTTCCCTTTCCCAAGTGGCATAGACGCCACCATGGTTTTGCCAGTCCACTTTCACTAATGGAATTTCTTTATTCCTTAACTTCTTGATTCGTCGGTTTACAACCTGAATAGGCCGTTCTTCATAAGTGTAGTCATCACTTAGCACTACACGGGTAGGCTTAATCACATGGAAGGGATCCCGAAGATAATCCCTCAACATTGAAATATGGAAAACATCATGCATATGCTCCATTTCAGGAGGAAGCGCTACTTGATACGCCACCGGATTAATCTTTTCAATGATCTCATAAGGTCCGACATATTTCGGTGCTAGCTTACCCTTGACTCCAAAACAAGTCTGACCCTTCATTGGTGTTACTTTAACAAAAACATGATCACCTACTTCATATTCCCTGTCTCGCCCTCGGACATCCGCATAACTTTTCTGTCGGCTTTGTGCAGTTTTCAGTCTCTGTTGAATCAGTTTCACTTTTTCAGTAGTCTCATGTACAATTTCGGGCCCAAGTAAAGGCCCATCTCCAACTTCTGCCCAGCAAATAGGAGATCGGTATTTTCTGCCATACAAGGCCTCGAAAGACACCATACCAATGCTCGAGTGAAAGCTGTTGTTGTAGGAAAATTCGGCTAAAGGTAAATGGCTTTCCCAATTTCCTTGGAAATCAAGGATACACATTCGCAGTAAATCTTCCAGAGTCTAGATGGTTCTTTCTGACTAGCCATCTGTTTGAGGATGGTATGCACTACTCAGTCTTAGTTCAGTACCCAATGCTGTCTGTAGGCTTTGCAAAAATCTCGATGTAAACTTCGAGTCCCTATCAGAAACAATGGACACAGGCACTCCATGCAATCTAACAATCTCATCAATATAAATTATAGCCAATTTGTCCGCATTGTAAATTGTTTTGACAGGTAAGAAGTGAGCAGATTTAGTCAGTCTATCAACAATAACCCAAATTGAGTCCATACCTTTACTGGAGCGAGGCAGTCCAACAATAAAGTCCATAGTAATATGTTTCCATTTCCACTTCGGTATTGGTAAGGGTTGCAGTAAGCCTGCGGGTCGCTGATGTTCAGCTTTAACTTGTTGGCAATGAAGACATTTCGATACAAAGTCAGCAATCTCTTTCTTCATTCCCGGCCACCAGAAATTTAGTTTCAAGTCTTGGTACATTTTCGTATTTCCTGGATGGATAGACAGTTTCGAATTGTGGCCCTCTTGCAGAATTCATCTTTTCAGTTCAGAATCATTCGGTACACACAACCTTCCCTAGAATTTCAACACATTGTTCTCAAATTTAAAGTCTGGCCTCGGTTTGGACTCCCGTTCATTAATGACCTTTTTCAAAAAGTCATTATGTTGTTGTTTCTCTTTAATCTTCTCAATCAGTGCCGGTTGAGCAGAAATAGCGGCTAAGGTTCCACCTTGTTCACGCAAAACAATCTCAACTTCAAATTTTTCAAGGTCACATAGCAATTCTTTCTGCCCGGTGAGTAAACAGGCTAAATTTCCAACTGATTTCTGACTAAGTGCATCGGCAACGGTGTTAGCTTTCCCCGGATGGTACAAAATTTGCAAGTCGTAATCTTTTATTAGTTCTAACCATCTTCGCTGCCTCATGTTCAATTCTTTCTGTGTGAAGAAATATTTCAAACTCTTGTGATCTGTATACACTTCACATGTTGCCCCATAAAGATAGTGACGCCAGATTTTCAATGCAAACACTATTGCAGCAAGTTCTAAGTCGTGGGTCGGATAATTTTTCTCATGCGGTCTCAGTTGTCGGGAAGCATATGCAATAACTTTACCATTCTGCATCAATACACATCCCAAACCCTTATAAGAAGCATCACTAAATATGGTAAATCCATCCGTACCTGAGGGTAGGGTAAGAATCGGTGCAGTCACAAGTCGAGTCTTTAACTCTTGAAAAGCTGATTCTCTTTGGTTAGTCCAGTCAAATGATACCCCTTTTTGAGTCAACTGAGTCAACAGTAGGGCAATTTTGGAGAAGTCCTTCACAAATCTTCTGTAGTATCCGACTAAGCCTAAGAAACTTCGAACTTCAGTAACATTAGAAGGTCTGGGCCAATTCACTACTGCTTCAATCTTCTGTGGGTCAACTGAAATGCCATCCTTACTGATCACATGCCCCAAAAACATTACATTGTCTAGCCAAAATTCACACTTCGTTAGTTTTGCATACAGTTTCTGTTCTCTTAGGGTCTGCAAGGCAATTCTCAAATGATGTTCATGTTATTCTTCACTTTTGGAATAAATCAAAATGTCATCTATGAAAACAACTACAAATTCATCGAGGAATGGTTTGAAAATTCTATTCATAAGGTCCATAAATGCAGCAGGTGCATTAGTAACTCCGAAAGGCATAACAAGAAATTCATAATCTCGTACCTCGTTTGAAAGGCAGTCTTTTCAATGTTCTCTGGTTTGACTTTCAACTGGTGGTATCCAGATCTAAGGTCAATTTTTGAAAAGACCTGAGCACCCTGTAACTGGTCAAATAAATCATCAATACGAGGTAGTGGGTACTTGTTTTTCACTATTACCTTGTTCAGTTCGCGGTAGTCAATGCAGAGTCTCAATGAGCCGTCTTTTTTTTTTCACAAACAAAACTGGTGCGCCCCATGGCGAAGTACTAGGCCTGATGAACTTCTAATCCAACAGTTCTTGCAGCTGAATTTTCAATTCTTTCAGTTCAGTAGGTGCCATTATGTACGGAGCTTTGGAAACTGGTTGTGTACCTGGAATCACATCAATGGTGAACTCAATGTCCCTGTCAATCAAATCCCCTGGCAAATCATCTGGAAAAACATCTGGGAATTCTTTGACTATGGGAATACTATCTACATTAGCTTTAGCATCAGTAGGTACAATCAATATACAACATAGATACCCTTTACATCCCTTCTTAATTAGTTTAAAAGCTTTTATAGACGAAATCAGATATGGGGGAGGCACTACACCAACTCTATTAAATACAAATTCAGACAATCCAGGTGGATGCAAAACAACTTGTTTTGTTACACAGTCTATGGTAGCATGATATTTTGTTAACCAGTCTATTCCCAATACCACATCGAAATGATCGATATTCAAAGGCAGTAAATCAATATACAAATGCACATCTCCAACAATAATTTCACGTGCAAGGTACATGTAAGCACAAGTCATGGATCCCCCAACAGGTGAAGATACAGTTAACAAATAATTCATGGGTTCCAGTGGTCTATTTAGTTTTCGCTAAAAAGCATGCGAGACATATGAATGTGTAGACCCCGAATCAATCAAAACATAAGCATTTTGAGTACAGATTGAGAGTATACCTGACACAACGGTCTCAGTATTCTGCACATCTCCTGGTACAAGTGCGAACACTCGGCCTTGCCTTAGAGGCTCCTTTCCGGTAGCTTTGGGATTGGGTTTCGGTGCAACAGTTGATACTGTTACGCTAGCTGCAGCTTTTCTATTGCCTTAAGAAGTGGAAGGGCAATCTTTAACCATGTGACCCACTTTGCCACATCTATAACAAGCACCAGAGATTTTATAGCAAATCCCCTTATGCCTTTTTCCACATTCAGAGCAGGGTGGTATAGAATTGTTTCCCTGGCTAAAACTGGTTGTTGACCCTATATTTTTCTTTTTGTTCAATGGACTGCTTTGGCCTTTCTTAAACTTAAAACCCCGTTTCTTACCATGCCATTCAGTCCCTGGTGTTTCGGTTTGTTTTAATGCCTCGATGTTCGACTCAACTATTATCGCCCGATCAAAAACATCCACATATTTCAGTAACTTCAGCACATTGATTCTGTCAAGTATCTCTATATTAAGGCCTCCTTCAAACTTCCTGGCCTTTTTGTAATCAGTGTCCACCACGTGTAGCGCATATCTGGCGAGTTCAGTAAACTTCGATTCATACTTTGCCACTAACATAGTACCTTGTTTCAACTGTTCAAACTCAGTCACTTTGCGATCCCTGACATACTGAGGAAAGTATTTTTCAAACAAGGCTTCTTTAAATGGAGCCCAAGTCAAAGCAGTATTGGTGTCACGAACAAGCATCCACCATCTTTTGGACTCTTCTTGTAAAGTAAAGGTAGCCACTAATACCTCGTGTGCTTCGGAACACGGAAACACTTCGAATAAATTCTCTGTTTCTAAAACCCATGCTTCGGCCTTTAATGGTTCAATGCCTCCTTGGAAGGATGGTGGTTTCATTTTGCTGAACTTCTGTGTCAAGGCAATTATATCCTCATTAGCATTTTGCTCCGGTTGAACTGGAGGAGGTAGGGGCTGTTGATTTTGTTGTAGCCTTAAGGCCTCAGTCAACAGTTCAACTGTTCTTTCTAATCTTGCCATCCTTGCCTCAGATGATTCGAATTCATCAGCATTTCGTACATTGTCCATTTCACTATAGGCAATATGGTAATAATAAACATAGGCAGTTACATACTTAAACACATTAGCACATTAGCATATATATTCATGTCATGGCCACACACACTTTCTCATGCTCATGCAATGCCTTAATTACTTTTCTAGGACATCCTATAGCTCATTTGGACACATGTGTGCGGTATAACTCGTGGTTTGACATCACTCTAATATCACTCTATCACGACCCAAACCCATCCCTATGGGTTTAACACCGTAACCAGCCAGTAATCCGTGATTACCGATGACCTGCTTAACAGTAATGCCAATAATACAGAGTAAAGGGACTGGCGAAAGCCAAAACAGTAAATAAAAGATGTCCAATGAGCTGTGACAGTCTGAATGCAAAAATACTTTTATGAACGAGTCACATTCGTAACCAAAACACATTTACATACTAGATATACATACATACAAGTTAGGGATTCAATCCCTATGCCATAACTGTACAGTAGGAGTCTATAACATCTATTACAAAACAGAAACAGAAGGGTGAATCCGAACACCCCAAAACAGCCGTAGCTTGAACGGACTTGGAACCTCGAGGCGAGGCACAAAGGTTGGCTTGATAAAACAAGAGCTAACCTGACGCTCCTAGCTCCGATCCGGTGCCTGGACACCTACATATATATATATAAACAGTGAGCTAAAGCCCATTGAATAATAGTTATGTGAAGAGGTTAAGAATGAATGTCCTTTCAGTAATCAAACAGTCATATCAGTCACTTTGAAACCTTAGCAGTCATATGTGGTGCATCTCATAGCAAAACAGTACAGTAGGTCTTAACAGACCGAACAGTCAGTTGATGGCCATCATAACAGTAAACAGTAGTGGTTCCAAACATGGGAACCGACAGAGATCTCTGTGTCAGTAGCAGTAACAGTACAGTAACAATAAATTGTTATGGATGCCACGAATACAGTTTACAAATAGGACAAACATTCATTCATTAAACAATAACGTTTCAGTAAGCAGAACAGTTGATCATTCAAAAAATAATCACAATTGAACATATCTTTACAATATTGTTACTCACAGAGCACTGGATATAAGCAGGTAGTGGGCGTCCTCGGGTGCCAACCCTACACAGTTATAGAACAAACACACACTATGTTACACACTCGGGAATCAACAACTTAGTCCCTATCTTGACTCGGTGTGGTTTTACATTAATATCCTCATTAAAATGCCTTAAACATGGCCTAGGAATGCCTAGGATGGAAAGAGGATGCAAGGATGCAAGGATGCACTTTAAAACACTTTTCAAAATTTGCTAAAACAGGGGTCCACGCTTGAGCGTGGCTTTCTACGCTCGAGCGGACATGCAGACAAAGGAGCTCCGCTTGAGCGTGACTTTCTACGCTCGAGCGGACTGCAAACTTCATGAAAAGTACTGGATGTATGCAATTCACGCTCGACGGACGCTCGACCCCCGCTCGAGCGTGAGACTCAGGTTCTCTCTCGAGCATGAACTTTCTCGCTCGAGCGAACTGTAAAACACATGAACTTCTGGGCATATGCATTTCATGCTCGAGCGTGACTTTCCACGCTCAAGCGGAAGTGCATGTACTCAGAGTGCACGCTCGAGCGTGAAGTCCTACGCTCGAGCGTGGGTCCAAAATCTGGAATTTCCAAATTCAACCTCAAGCATGAAATTCAACTTTTAAAGCTTCAAATTCGATCCCCTCGGGCTAATTTTCTAGAAAACTCTTGGAAACTCATAGTATAACATGTTTTTGAAGATCATTTGTAAGATCAAGCCCAAAGGTAAGCCAATTAAACACAAAAATTAAGTGTACGCACGAAGAACATTGCAAGATCATACATGCATGAGTTCTCATGAACTCTAGTGTTTCAAAACAAGATCAAATGCAATGTTGAGCTCAAAATCATGATGAATTCATGGACCATAACAAAAATATGAACTTGCATATGGAAATTCCCATGAAACAACTCCAAAATTCAAGAATATGCACATGCATGCAAGGATTAACTCTCAATTCAACCTTTTAAACCAATTCTTGACTTAGATCACTAATTTCCATGAATCATGCAAGACACAACTAAAATCCATAAACTAAAGGATGAATTCTCTTCCTTAGGTCTTGAATTCTAGGTATGGAAGCTTCAATTACACAATCTCTCTTCAATTTCTCCTAAGTTCCAAGCCAAACTTTGTTGAATCAATTATTTCCTTCCAATTCTCTCTCTCTCACACGTTTGGTCTCAAAGATGAAATGGATGGCATATTAAACATGAGTGAAGTAGAAAAAGAATGGTCTTGAATCAAGCCACTAAGTGGCAATTTTGGACTAGAAGATGGACAAAATGATGCACCAACTGATATGAATTAAGTCTCAAAGTGTTGTATGAAAGTGGCCCACTAATGGCAATTTGGTAGTAACTCAAACTAATGTAATTTAACATTATTTAATCCAATTTAATCGTTCCAAATCAAATTTTCATTAAACCTACCATAAAATCACATAAATTCTATTTAGCATAAAATACCAATCAGTTTCTGGTTCAGTCGTCGATAAGACCTTCAATTCGCAAATTCGAAATTAAAACATGTACAGATCATTCTATAGTCAAATAGATAGAAATGCAATTACAAACAATATATTCATGTAATCAATTTAGGATTTCATCCTAATCAGTTACTTATCATTCTCAGTTACAGTTTAGCATTAATCAGAGATGAGGGTTGTCACACTAATCCACCCTTTTTGAATGTTATATGAAGTCTAGTGAATGTTTTATGATTTGTTTTGACTTTGGGATTTAATTCCCTAACTTCTGTTTTGTTTGTATATAAGCGTCTTATGGACTTAAGTGTCGGTGTGCATACATAAGGTTATGAAATTTGTGTTGTTCATTTAAGTCCTTACAGCTCTTTGGACATTATGTTTTAATATTTACAGGCTTCCGCCAGCCCCTTTTATTGTATAATTGTTATTATTGTTAAGTAAGCCTTTAGTAATCACAGATTACTGGTCGGTTACAACGCTAAACTCATAAGGGTGGGTCTGGGTCGTGACAGCTGTCAAGTGGGTTTAGAATTAACAAATGTGACAAGTGTGTTTATGTCAAAGACACTAACAGAGATTATGTCATTTTGTGTCTATATGTTGATGATATGCTCATTATAGGTAGTAATGATGAAATGATCAACTACTAGGAAGTTGTTAAACTCTAAGTTTGACATGAAGGATATGGGCAATTGTTATTCTGGGAATTAAGATTACTAGAACATCTGGTGGAATTAAACTTTCTTAGTCTTATTATGTTGATAAGATACTTGAGAAGTTTAGTGGATCAGATACGAGTGTGTCACCGACACTTGTAGACTTAAGTCTACATTTTACTATAAATAATAAAGAGAGTGTCTCTCAGTTAGAATTTTCTCGGATAATTGGAGTTTGATGTATCTGATAAGTTGTACTAGGCCGGATATAGCCTACTTGGTTAGCAGGCTTAGTAGATACACGAGTAATCCCGATGCCACTCATTTGAAGGGCATTGTGCGGGTGTTAAGGTATTTATGCTACACTCAGGATTATGGGTTGTATTATACTCGATATCCAAAGGTGTTGGAAGGCTATAGTGACGTGAATTGAATATCATATATAAAGGACTCAAAGTCCACTAGTGGATATGTATTCACTCTTGATGGGGCATGTGACGACCTAGCATGCCACTCGTCCCTTTTCCCTTGTTTAATCTTGAATTTGTCGCGTTCGTATGTCGGGTCTCACTTGAAGTCTTGTTAAACCCTTCGAGTTGTTGTTGTGCTCGGAAGTTGCCTCAAAATTCTTGTTCTTTCCTTTTTGGTGTTGATTTCCTTTTTGTCCCGGAGGATGTGAGGTCCGGTTCGAGGTACCTAGAATCGAAGGGGGAAAATTCTGGGCTGCTGGGTTAGGGCCGCACGTGCGGGGCCCTAGGCTGCACGTGCGAGGAGGGGCCGGACGTACGGGAGGTAAGGCCGCATATGCGGAGAGGGGTGATCTTCAGAAGTGTGCCTACTACTTAAAAGGCACGAGCGGAGAGTGATGTAAGAGGACCACCGCACGTGCGAGGGTGAGGGCCGCATGTGCGTGGAGGGGCACCGCACATGCGGCACTCTGGGCATCCGAAACTCTGTTTTTTTTTTTTGCTTTTTTGGTCGAACTTGTAACACATTTTAGGCACTTTCCTATCACTCTAAACCCTATTTTCCTCCTTCTCTCTAGAAACCCTCACCAAAACACTAAAACACTTTGATTCTTGTAATCTTTGGGTCTAGATCATCATCATTTCTCACTAATCTTGAAGATCCAAGATGGGGCTCCCCTTGGTGTGGTGGAAATTGAAGAATTAACCATTTTAACTCTAGGGTTTCAACCCTTCATCATCAAACATTGAGGTAGGGATTTCTTGAGTTATATATATATATATATATATATATGTTTTGCTATCTAAATATTGATTTAAAAGAGTTCTTGAGGTTGTTGTGTTGAGTTTGATTTTGCTCCAAATATAGAGAGAGTTTTGAAAGGATGGGTTTAAATCTCAACCCTTTTGTTAATCCTAGAGGGTTGTCCCTTTTTATTTGACTTAAGAAATGTGATTTTGGGTTGGGTTTCACCATGAAGTGGTGAAATGTGAGTTTTTGATGAAAACCCTAGAAATTGGGGATTTTCTTAAAATGTAGAAAAACCTATGGAGTTCTTTCTTTTCTTGTGATAGAAGGGTAAATGAGCGTTGATTTTATGATGCAGTTTGCAATGGCAATTTCTTGTTA